AGAGTTGTTATTAACATACTTCTAACTTTGTGCATGTCTTTTCCTGACCTAATGATACACATTCATGACAGGTCCAACTTGGAGTTTTCCTTATGAAGAATGACAGCTGAGATTTCAGTTTTGAGGTTACAATGGCACTTCCAAGTAGGAGTGTCAGAGCAGGTTACATTAAGGCAAAGTCAGATAAAGGATTTTTACTAGAGGATAAAAGAAGCTTTAAGAGTTTGTGGCACCCTGGGAAAACAGAAATCAAATAGAATTCTGCAGATCAAACAGATGTCCACAAAAGTTAACTCAAATGGCAAGTTATAAAAGTGAATTAATCACCAACAATTCAAATACAATGAAAAATAAAATACTCAACCCCTTCAAATGGTCTCCTCTTCCCAAAGCATTTATTACTTGTTAAATTAAAGAGTCTCAGCTTCTGTAACCTGGAACACTTGGTGATTTAGCAGCACTTTAAAAAAAGATTTGTTTATTGCAAAGCCATGCAAAGGTTATATAAAAAAATCCTCTTCCCATCAGGGACCTCAACCATCTATTTTCACAAAGGCTGCAGGAAGTTTGCTTAATGAGATGTAATTTTTACCCAGGACTTTTTTGCTGAGGCTGTATTGTTTCAGCTGCTGTCACCAAGTCCACTCAGCACTCCTGCTACACCATTTGATCCTTTTAAAGTGACTATAATGCTGCTCCAAAGAATTATGCCCAACCTGAATACAGACAACCTTGGAAAGTCCTTTGGTTACACCTGACCAGAGAGAAAGAACACATGTGTGCAATTAATCCGCTGAAGTAGGACTTCCACAATTTGGGGAGACAGGTAAAACAGACTGCCAAGAGAATTCCTCATTGTATGCTCTGTCTTTGCCCTGAACAATTTCCACTTTGTAGAAATTTCACAGTGAAAGCATTTTAAAGCTGAAATACACAGAGCTTTTCTCCTCTGAGGGCTCAAGTCCACAGAGGTTGGAGGCACAACATTTACACCAAAATCTGAATGAGTGTCACAAAAGTGCATCAAATAATTCAGGAAACAACAGTACGATCATTTAGAGTCACTTCACAGATGTAAAATATCTAATGGGACATGGTTCTTGCAGAATTCAAGACAAATTCAGGAACAATACTTTGGAATGAAGAGGGAGAAAGCATGAAGGAGTGGGAAGAAGAGAAAAATATTAACATCATCAAAGAGTAGAAGAAAAACTATTAGAGATAAACACTCTGGGATTGTCCTTCCTATCTTCTTTAGACCTACAGTGGTAGCCCAAAAAGGAATGATGTAGAGGCAATACATGGAGGTTATTGTACCTTTAATCTATCAATAGAGAATAAATATAAACAGGTAGTTTGAATTTTGCTACAAGTTCACAGTCATCTAAGTTCATGTCAAATTTGCCATGAAAAATCTCATTAACAGCACATTTTTCCTAACACCTCAAAGCAGAGTGTGAAATTTAAGTAGGGAGGAAGATCTCCACCTTTGGCACTGCATGGAAAGCACTCAGCTTCCAGTACTAAATAAGTTAAATTTAAGACTGAGGCATCAATTTTATTATTATCATGTATTTAAGGGCAGTTCATCTGAACTGTTTCCTATTCATCATGTGCTTGATAAGCACTGAAGAAGGGTTCCATTTTACAACAGTGAAATGTAGAGACTTTGTCATAAATGAAAATAAGAAACACATTTTTCTGTTGGACACCCCAGATTTTAGAACTTGCATCAGGTTATCTAAATATGGTGTGTCTGTTTGCCTTTAGAACTCCCTCACAACTTTGCCAGTGTTGTAAGCAATTAGAGATGGACAGAGAGGATGTCAGTAGGGTTATTTTACGAGAGCAACTCAATTATCCAGAAATTATTTTTCAGATGTGAAAGCAGATAACTGCAGGAATTTTTTCCAATTTCCCCTCAGTCAAATCAGACAGATGGCATGGCCTAATTATACCTGGACTATTGCACTGTGGACAATTAATCTAAAAGTCATTTCAAATGCAAGAAGCAACAACATTCAGACAAGATATCCATTAAAAATAAAATAAAATAAAAACTTGAGGGCAGCTAGCTCTGATTCAGCAGTTAATTAATCAATTATTTTGTAGTAGTAGAAATTTGGAGTCCAATTCCACCATGGTTACTAGACCATGGCACTAAGTGCCACATCCAGTCTCATCTTGAAAACCTCCAGGGATGGTGAATCCAACACCTCCCTGGGCAGCACATTCCAATGCCTGAGCACTCTCTCCATAAAAAAATATCTTCCTAATATCCAACCTAAGCCTCCCCTGGCAGAGCTTGAGTCTGTGCCCTCTTGTCCTGCTGCTGGTTGCCTGGGAGAAGAGACCAACCCCCCCTGACTCCAACCTCCTGTCAGGGAGTTGTAGAGAGTGATAAGGTCTCCCCTGAGCCTCCTCTTCTCCAGGCTGAACACCCCCAGCTCCCTCAGCCTCTCCTCATGGCACTTGTGCTCGAGTCCCTTCACCAGCCTCATTGCTCTTCTCTGGACCAGCTCCATGTTCTTCCAACTCTTTCTTTACACACCTTCAAAGGCTGATCTGGTAAGAAGCTCCAAGTGCAGGGAAGACCTAGCAGCTCCTCACCTTGAGCTGTGTCATGAATCAGAAACTAACCCAGCAGTACAAGGGGAGCACATTGGCCAAAGAGCACCTTAGGGACCCCCTGCCACACCTACCTGCAGCTCTTTGACAACCCTCTTGATGAGGTAGGTCCCAAGTTCCACACCCTGCAGTCCCTGCTGAGTCAAACTGATCGAGTAGAAAATTGCTGTTGTGATTTTGTCTGTATCTTCTGGCTCTAAAGGAGGCACTTCTTTCACTATGGCCTGGGAAACCGAGAATAGAACCAGTTAGTAGTAGTTATTACCATCATTATGGAGAGGAGGTCTTTCTTTTTAGCTTTTAAATATATTAACACTTTTCCTACTGTTTTATTCATTATCCTCTAAGAAACAATTAAAATCTAATGAAAAAGTAGAAAGAAGAGCTGCTTAGCCATGAGTAAGTGCAGGAAATGACTGTAATGTGGTTTAAAATTTTCAGAAGTAATCGCAACCACTTTGAAGTTTTAATCTCACTTGTTCTATTTCCTTATATATTTCTTATCTTTTATTCTTCTTGCTCTTCAACTAACCTCCAAAATTTGGACTTACATAATCCAGTTACATATACAGAATATCTCTGTAATTTTTACATGGCAATTCTCTCATCTCCTAAAAAAAATGAAACAAATCCAAATACTGCCAAATGATAAGGAATTGTGGATTTTCAATAAAGCACATTGCAAACTGAGCACTTTGCTGTGTACTAAATGCATCAGTGGCTGTACCTGGATGTTGCTGGAGATGTCACTGGTCAGTGCCACATGAAGGACTATCAATGGTTCTCCTGGGATTGCACAGTGAGAAAAAAAGTAGCATCTTCTGTAGGAGCCAACTCGACGCTTCATATCAACCCAATTTCTAACAGGATGTACAGCCTCAGAACTCAGGAAGAAAAGAAAAAACAGAAAAATTATTATTAATTTTATTTTAGAATTATTGGAATTTATAATCATTAGAATTTATATTTTGTCAATAATTCTATATCATTATGAGAACGAATTAATTCTAATTTTTCTGATACCAGTGATGAAATTCTCCAATCAAAAGAAGGAGAATCAGGCTGGAAGTGGATAAAGTAAAACTGATCAGCAAACTGTGACAAAGTGGATAGTAAAGGCATATTGCACACCCACTCACTAGAGTGTTCACCAAATTACCTTGAAGATTAAATATTACTAATTATCTTTATTTTGAAAATTTAGCTTATATAAGATCTCTTTGCCTCATCAACATTTAAGTCATGTACTTTCAAAACTCTTTAGAGCTTCATTTTTCTTCAAGCTTTTCATATACAGAATGGCACACAACATAACTTTGATAGTCATTTTCAGCTTCATCACTGCAACTTCAAATATTTGACAGAAATTCAGAAAGAAATGTAGATTCAGAGGTAAGTGTTGTGGAGCACACTGCATAAAAAGCAAGGTGCTCTCTTTACATGTGACTCTGCACCTCACCTGTTCCAGCCAGGAAGAGAAATCACAGAATCACAGAATCAATCAGGTTGGAAAAGACCTCTGAGATCATCAAATCCAACCTGGGACCTACCACCACCATGGCAACTAGACCATGGCACTAAGTGCCACCTCCAGTCTGTCCTTAAACACCTCCAGGGATGGTGACTCCATCACCTCACTACATTAGACGTGAAAAATGCTCCTGAGTGTTGGGCTGCATCAGACTTAAATCTGCTGCTGGTGCAGACTGAGGGGAGAAGGTGGCAGTGGTGAATGGAGGCAGCAGCAGTAGCACATGTGGGAGGAAATGCAGTGCTGGAAGATCTGGGTTTGTAGGAAAAACAACAGCAGCATCTCTGGGAATGTGGGAAGCGTAACTGAGAAAGCTGGAAGAAAAGACAGCAGTCTGCAAGTGCAGTGTGTGAGCTAAAGGACCAGAGGATGGGACAAACGATCCCCTCTCTTGTTAATTAAATTCAGATTTAAAAGTTTGCTCTGCAGCTTGTTAACTGCAGATATTCCTTACCTACACTTTGCCTATGGCTCAGTATTGCAAAACAGAGTCTTGAAAACAGTGGATCTGTGCAGTCACAAGCATTTCAGCACCTTTTCATCAAGGAGCCTTTCCAACCTTTAGCACTTACTCACTAATTTTCTGGAGTACTTCACAAGGTGATTGCCAAGTGACCCGTTCCAAGTTAAGGAATCCCGTGGAGAACCACTCTGACAACATGTTCTTTAGAACTCCATTCATTTCCTACAAACAGAAGAAAGATGGAATTATCTGCTAAATAAGCAAGGCAGGACACAGGAATGTGAGTAAAGATAAACTTGATTGATCCAAACCACAACACTGGGAAGTTAAAGGAACTAATGCATCTGTTTGTGAAGATTAACCATGTAAGAGTTCAGCTTTCCTGACACAGACTGAACCAAGGACAATGCTTAAAGACACTGGCTATGGTAAACTGCAGGCAGGGACATGGCAGATAAGGCAAAACTCTGCAGGTGAAAAGCAGACAATAGGTAGAAGGATTTGAGCAGCCTTGACCACAAAGCAGCAGTTGCACAGGTGCTCAGATTTCTTACATGCCGTGAAAATACCTTTCAAGAGGGTGAAGACAGAACCTTTAGGTTTTATTTAAAGATAGTCTTTACATGCTTTTCTCTATAAATACGAAAATTTGTGAGCAAGGATAATAAAAACAGCAGCATAAGAGCACAGGACTGAAAACTCAAACCAGCTTTGGAGCAGTATGAAACAGATTGAACTTAGCTGAAATATCAAATACTTTCAGAACATTCATTGCTATAGTGATTTCTGTATTCCTTACTAATTTCCTGCTGCCTGTGTTATTACAGATTTCCTGTCTAAGATTATCTGAATTTAAGAAGTATTCTTGAACTCAGCACAGCAAAAATATCCCTTAAAGAGAGTCCAAAGCTTGTTTTTCTTTCTCACATTTGCCTTGTACACAGGGCACAGTGTGGTACCAACACCAACTTACCAAGAGCCTGAGCAGAAACAGAGGCTTACCTGAAACAAATTTAATAACCATTTATTTCAAAACAAAAACTCTTCACCTTCTATTCAGACCTTTATTAAATAGCTCCTGCTGCACATAAAAGGAACAGAAATTATGCTCCAATGTACTTTAGCTTGTTACATTTAAGCAAAACAACAGGGAAAAATACAAAAATCTAATCAGAAAACACTACTTAAACCATTTTTCCTAAGTTCAGATGTAGTATCAGGACTTTCATAAAGAAAGCAAAAATATTTCCTATTATAACCAAACAAAGATGAAGGTTGTAGAGGCATTTGTCAAAAGACACATCAAAGAAGGTTCCCACTGGCCACAGTAACTGCTACAAATATTCCAAGATGGAATAAGGAGAAGATTTTCTTCCTGAATTCACTGGACTAGAAGAACGAAAATTTTCAAACCCAGAAGAGCCATTCATCTGCATACAGCAACTCTGTCATGCATGAAAAATTTATGCTATCCTATTTTTTCAATAGCATCCTCCAATCTGTAAGAAAAGCAGAGCTGACTTATTGAAGCATAAATTGACATATACTTCACCCAGTGAAAATGTCAATTGCATTGTTCTAAATTCAGGGAGTATCCATGAACTCCTCCAGGAGGTCAAGTGTCTCAAGGTTTATAAATTATTTTTTTTGGTCTTTCTCAGTTCTTTTTCAGTCATATAATAAACTGTGCTGAAAGTCTTCTGTCAACTATATTACCACCTGCACTTGTAGGATATGGCTGAGCACAGCCTGGATGTGCTAGTAAAAACAAGTCATTGAATGAATATGAAACTGAAATAATACAAAAGAAATCATCTTAAATGCATTTATAGGGGAAGGAATCTCCACTGGAAAACAAGGGAAGCCACATACTGCATGGCACCAGCATAAAAACAAACCTCTGGAAAAAACAGACATGCAACTATCCATACACATATGCCAGGCTGGATGGGGCTGAGAACAACTTGGGCTAGTAGATGCCCATGGCAAGAGGATGGAGTGAGATGGTCTTTAAGGTCCCTTCCAAACCAAACCATTCCATGCAACATGCATCTGCAACAAGCACCACTGCTGAGCTGAGAGAAATGCAGGATCACACTGAACAAAATCCACCCTAGGAAGGAACAGACTCCAGGATTTGTCACTGAAACATGGATTCAAAGTTCCTGTCCCCAAGTAACACCATCCTACACAACAGCAGTGAGGGCAGGGGAGGAAGCAACATAACAGCTAACATTAAAAAGGACACTAGCTCTGTCAAATCTTTGCAATGAGGACAGTTAAGAGGCACATACAGAGTGTACCTTCCCCTGCCTAATAAATGGGATTACTGTGCATTTGTATCCAGTGGGATGATCTGGAGGCTTACAGGACACATGTTAAACCTGTGCTGCCTTCCTACCTCAAAGGAGCAGAATAGGTCTAGAAAATGGTATTGCTGTGAAAAATGCTCAATTACTGCTGGCTCAGGGCACCTTAACACTTGATGCACTCTGCCAACACAGCCCTCAGGTGCACGTACAGTACCTATATACATAGGTAACTATAGTGGCACTGCTTCTGAGCTAGCAGATCACACAGAAAGCAGCAGGCAAAACAAGCTGTACCCAAACTGTCTGAATAACAGTGTCTACCAAAAGGGCTCTTTCTGGCACAGCTCAAGGAATTGCGACTCCTGGGCAGGTTCTGTCCAGCGACGTCACCCAGGCTTGTGGCAGGAACAATTTTATTGGGAAAAGCTGAATTTTAGTTCAAATACTCTCTCATACACTCATTTGGCTTTGGGTTTTTGCCCCCCCAACACATTTTTCCTAAACAAGTGTATTCTGATTGCTTTGTTTATTCAGACTTGAAGGTGCTTCCCTGGTGACTCCTCATTTCTGCACAGCTCTGGAGTTTTTAGGCAATAACTATAAATCATTTTGGACAAATATCCCTTGGTGTAGTAAATATCAAATGGTGTCGGGAAAGTCTCCAGGTATTTCAGTCGTGTTTGTTTTGTTTTCTTTTGTAGTGGCACACTGTAACAGGAAAAATGAGCTAAGCTGTCAGACTGGGGTGAAAAGAACAGATTCTTATGGCTCTCTTGTCATCCATACACATTTTGGAACACCATTCCAGCTGCAGTCCAGCAACTTGGAGAGAAAACTGCTGATGGCTGCACTTCTGCCAGGCAGCACTTGAACACTGCTCTGCACCTACTGGCAGCAACGTGGCTCAGGTGGCAAGGAGTGAGCAGGGAGAAAGCCAGTCATCCTGCATGGAAACTGGGAAAGTGGAAACATAGGAGTTGTGTTTTGCTTCTTTAAAGCACCTACAGGTTTGGCAAACATGCTCCATGTGGAGGGACATGGTGATGCCAAGGGAACTGAAGCCTGCTTTCATTAGATACTTTAGGTGCAAGGTGCAGCTGGATAAAAGCAATGCAGCTGTACCCAAAGAAGTAGTGAAGCAAATGTGCTTTCAGTAATGATTTGGGGAGAAAAGGAACATTGTTTATGGAGAATTACAACTCAGTTCAAATCACCTGTCAGTTGTAAAGAACAATGTTTTAGAAAACAACAGGGCACTGTGCAGGCCAAAGGGTTAGAACAGTTCCAGTGGGAAGGGACCTACCACATACCAAGTCCAGTTACAAGCGGGCATGGAGCAACAGGACAAGGCAAATGACCTTAAGCTGAAGGAGAGCAGGTTTAGGTGGGACATGGGAAAGAAATTCTTGCCTATGAGGGTGCTGAGGCACTGGCACAGGCTGCCCAGAGCCGCTGTAGCTGCTCCACCCCTGGGAGTGTTCCAGGCCAGGTTGGATGGGGCTTGGAGCAACCTGGGCTACTGGAAAGTGTCCCTGCCCATGGCAGGGGGTGGGACTAGATGATCTTGAAGGTCCTTTCAACCCAAACTATTCTGTGATTCCATTAATTCTATGTTAAAAAAACTTCTTAGTGCAGAAAAGCATAGAACTTTATACTACCCAAAACTGTGTTTAATTCAAGTCATCTAACAATTCCCAGCTGTGTTTAACATCACAGTGTACACCACATTTCCCAAAGGCTTCAGTCCAACAAGGAGTTTCAAGTATTTTGTAGATTTAATGCTAGGTTCTCTTGTTTTGTATTTTTAGTGGTAATTCTTAATTTTCAATTCAGAGGCCTGTTTAGTCACAAAAATTGCCTCTCCAACACTTCATTAAAAAGAAAGCACACCTTCATTATTCAGCATCCTAATGTTTAATCTGAGCAACAAGACATACCCAGATTAGTACTTCAAATTACAGCTAGACTTCAATTTCTATTAGCCAAGAATAACAAAATATGATTAGTTTTTTTCTCATCCCATGCTCTTGCTACAAGACAGCAAATCACAGGCTTTTTCATCTTCACATCAAGTCCCTATTTACTGGGCAACAAAGGAGAAAACTCTTATGAAAACCTTCCATTAATTTTTTTATTAAGAAAAACTGCCTCTCTGATGAGTGAACTATTTCCATTTCCCTGTTAAGCTGCTCAATAAAATACTCCTCACAAGAGCTGAGTTTTATCCTGGGTTTGGAATGTTTGAAGGGTTTAACTTGATGTGCTCTATTTGGGATGTACAGATCTACCCTGACATTGCTAAGTGTTTGAAGGTGTCTTTGGTGGGGCTTGGTTGGGTTTTTTTGGGATGATATTGAGGTTTTCTGTTTGTTGGGTTGAGTTTTTTTTCCTCTCACAAATTAACTTCAAAATATACACAGAGAACATCTCTGGTGAGCTCCTGGAAAACATCCCCATCAGAAAACCAGGATTCAATAGTGTGACACAAATTAAAGGATACTGTTCTCTGCTTTTTAATTGCTAATAGTAATTACTGCAGTGATAATGGTAGTGTTGAAAGCTCCCCTGGCTCTTGCGGTTTGTACTATTTTTATTTATTTATATTATTCCCCAAAAAAATCCCTTTCCTCCATTTTTTGTTCCTTGAGACAATGAGTACAGCGTGCACAAGCATCTTTGAGGTGAGTTAATCACCTGCATATGATATTTCACTGTGATCTGTTGAACAAACACAAAATAGAAAAGCTTCATCTCCCAATACCTGACAGTCTAAGCTGCTTCTGTGTTGACAACTGTTGAGGAAATAAAAGAATAATTCATATTTACAACACAGCAATAGGCAATCCTTGTTTAATAGGCCTTTCCAAATGCAAAGTAAAAACTAAGGGCTGTCTAAGAAATATTTTAGACAGTTTGGGCAAACCCAAAATCCCACTAGACCACATAATGCATTCTGTGATTTTCCTCCAGCATTGTGAAGATCCATTTAATTTTATTTCCACATTTCCTTGTCAGAGGAGATACAGATACACAGAAGTTACAGAATTCTTGTTGCACACTTGTCTTTATGTATGCTAGAACTGAAATCAAATCTACACTAATGAAATGGTTATGCAGTACTTTGATAGGTAAATACCAAACACATTTTTTCCTAGAAAACCTTGTCATAATTCTAGTATTTCCCTTTGTCCAGTAGACAAGAACAAGATTACAGATACACTCCAACTACTGCTTAATTATAGAACCAGTTTTATTTATAAATCAATTTGACAAAATTTCTCTTTTTCATTATCTTTTCCAGCAACTCGAACTTTGCACTGACTTTTTTAAAATCATATGGAAAGATGAACAGTATTTTAAAAGCAACAGTCGAAGGACTTGCTACCCAAAACAATAATGTTGTGAATTTTCCACCAGAGTTCATATTTCACATGCTGAAATATGAGCAAGCAAACAAATATAACAAATCTCAAGAGGAAAATGCTGGCACAGAAGTAGTAAAGCACTGCAGGTGAGAGGGGTCTGAACAGCAAGAGGAAAAACTACACTCAGGAAACAGATTTTCAGCAGATTTCACTCTGTGCATTGCAAGGGCTCATCAGAAATACAACTTGTTTATAAGGACAGTGAAAAATGAGTGTGACCTGTGGTGGATAGAAGGAATAGAACATAAGAGGAAAGAACGTAAGAGAAAGAAGACAAAAATTCAAACAGCATCAGGAAGAACAATTAGGCTCAGATTCACCGTAATTTAACTTTTAAAACACTGAATTGTGTGCCAGTGCTGGTTTTTCAAATGGCCATTTAAACATTACCCATGAGGCTTATAACAGTAGTAACTGATTCATATGTTTAACAGACAAGATTTGCCCAGAGAAGCTGTGGAAGTGTTTCAGGCCAGGCTAGATGGAGCTTGGAGCACCCTGGGCTAGTGGAAGGTGTCCCTGCCCATGAGCTTGAAGGTCCTTCTAACCCAAACCATTCTGTCATTCCATGAAAACTCACCTCTGGGGCCAATTATGAAGAAAAATTTCTCTTCACCACATCCATTTTTGGTGGACTCTGTCTTGCTCTTGGTGACAGTTCTGCCTTCTAATAACCAACTTAAATATAAACCCAACCCTCTACACAGCATGTTTCTTCCCTTCGCACAACCCACAATTTTAAGTGTTTCCAATGCATCGCTTAGGGTTTATTTTCAAGACCTACAGAATTCTTGCAGTAAGGCAGTCACCCTTCTTCTCAATTTAGCTCAGCTTTTTCAACCTGATTTGCCTTACACTGGATCCTGACAGCCACTGAGCTAATGGATACTGTGGTAATGGATTTAGTGCTCAGAAGCTTTCACGAGTCTAATAATGAGACACATTTTGGAGTGCAGTGCAGCTGGACATGTGTCACACAGCACATACAATCAGAGTAAGTCAGGCATTTGCATGTCTTCATTTCCTTTAAACATCACTTCAACTCAAGAAGTGATTTATGAGAGACAACTGAGACCATTATGAAGATGTATATTCTTGGGAGTAACTCCAGACAATACTGCACCAGTTTGCAGTGCATCAGCTACTTTGTCAATGACTCAGCAACACTGAAACCAACAGAGGAACAATCACCAGGGAATTTGCATCTCCTTGGTTTAAAGTAGTACCTTAAATTCAGCCAGGCAAGCATTCAGCACATATAACAGTGAATCCTGATGTCTTACCAGCCATCCCAAGTTTCAGAGTTTTGCTATATCTGGTTTTGTCTCTTCCCTGCAGTTAGGGAAACTAGCAAAGAACCATTCTGAATCTGTCCACTACAAGAACCCAGAATATATCCTGTATCATGAGAAGGGTCCTCTATTCAGGACTCAAATTCTTTATTAAAAAGGAAAAAACTTCTAATTACTTTAATGTTGTTAACAAAGCTAGAGCCTGAATGTTCTGCCATATAGTTTTCACTGTTCTTGACACTTAGCCTCAGTACAGGTAATAGAGTAAGGTATCAAATTAAATACATGTGTCCTCACATCACTTCCCCACAAACCACTTGCATCATTTAGCAATCAGCTCCATTGCAGATCGGGTCAATGCTTCCTGTGGGTTGGTGCTCCCTTGGGTGCACAGTTATTCTGCCACTTTTGCAATAGAAGCAAACAGATTTTAAAGCCTGAACAAGGCTCTTACTTCAGAAGCAACACATAACATCTTTCCCATACACACTATCAAGGAACCACAATAGCACATAGTTGTAGGTCTTGGGTTGCTGTGGAGAAGAATGACCTAAATGAAACTCCAAACTGCAAAGCAACAGTACTCAGGGGAAATTCTTACAGCCAATACAGTCCCAAACAAACCCAATGCAAACCAGTTCTAGCTTTACTCTTTCCTGGTTTATATGCTGTTTGTCACCAACTCATTTTTAGAATACATCACATCTGATAAATAAAACTGATCAACAAGCACAAAACTGACTACAAGAACAGCTATGCAGAACTAAGCCCAGACACAGGGTGAACCCAAACATTTAAAAAGCATTTTGAGAAGACCCAAAAGAATGCTTGTGACAACCCTTTTACTGATGGTTTAGTCTTGCAGACAGTATTTTCCTACTTTCAAATGACTTTAGTATATTTCTGAGCATACAGTACTATTTGGCGTATGTACATTTAGTTGTTTTATATATCTCCATCTTGCTAATTCTGCACATTCAGTCTGGTTTTACTTAAGATGATCCAACTGGATGTGGTATCTTAGCAATGCTGCTGTAGTTATGTGATGACAGCACTGCCATCAAAAACATCCTTTTCTTGTCAAACCTAATTTGGATCTGAATACTGATAAAACAGGTTATGCTCAGTGCATCTGAACAACCTGCTGTGTCTTTTCATTGCCTTCCAGAAGTCCTGATAGCTCCTGCCACTGTCATCTCCTACAGCATTCCTTCCTCCACATCCATGTCACCATAGGGATCACTAGGGATGTTCCACCTCACCTTTTGTCTTCACACTACTGAGCCTAGCCAGGGCAACTTTCTCCTGCTGATATTCTTCATCATTAGCATCACACGGTGCTGTGTCACTCGTGACCTTGGAACAGACTCAGAGTCAGGCCACTACCCAGTGAGCTCCTGAGGGAGCCTGGCAGCCCCAACATCAGTTGTGTTATGTTATGTCATGTCACACTGTGGCACTTCCTTGCTGCCCTAGTAACAGCCCACAGCAGCCTCCCACTGCCACTCTGCAAACCTCATTGCTTCACACCACAACCACTCCCTTCCTGAGCTGTCGGCACAGGCAGCTCTCCTGCTGCCATAGCCTGTGGGAAGGGGTTCACTCGTGTCCCATCATAGAATCACAGGATCATTTAGGTTGGAAAAGAGCTCTGGGATCATCAAGTTGAGGTTATGACCGATCACCACCTTGTCAGGCAAAGCAGAGCACTAAGTGCCATGTCCAGTCTTTCCTTAAACACTTCCAGGGATGGTGACTCCACCACCTCCCTGGGCTGCTGTTCCAACATTTAATCAGCCTTTATGTGATGAAACTCCTCCTGATGTTCAACCTGAACCTTCCCTGGTGCAGCTGGAGGTCATGTCTTCTTGTCCTGTCGCTGACTGCTGGGGAGAAGAGCCCAACCCCCACCAGGATACAACCTCCTTTCAGGTAGCTATAGAGAGTAATGTCACCTCTGAGCCTTCTTTTCTCCCAGCTGAGACTCCCCACCTGCTCCTCACATGACTTACTCTCCAGACCCTTTATCAGCTTTGCAGTCCTTCCCTGGTCTCACTCCAGCACCTCCACGTCCTTCCTGAATCGAGGGGCCCCTGGAGACCTCAATAGTGAATGTGGTTCACAGGACACTTCCCAGCCCAGCGTGGCCACACGAGCAGGAACCCCCAATCACATCCCAAGCCTCCCCTGACTCCCTTCACAGCCCTCACCTTGACATGAGGCCCATCC